CGGACCCCGCGCGCCTGCCTCATCCGCCACAACAGCCGCCTCGGGGAAGGGGGTGCTCTTCTCAGGGCTGCCTGCTGTACGACAGTTATTGTTTTTGCACGACAATGTCACCCCTGTACCACCGAGAACAGTACAAGTGCTAAAAATGTACAATAATTGCTGACAGACAAGATTCTTCGGGTAAATCTGGTATTTTAGACCAACTCAAATAGTTGGAAAAATCCTTCTTAGCAAACTACTGTTTGAGTTGATCTAATGAAAGATACCAGATTTACCCAAAAAGTCTTAGACTAACACAACCTATCCCCCAATAACTGTTGAGGCAGCTACTTGTTGTCATATATGCAAAACGCAAGTCGTTCTTGGGAAGCTGTACTTTGGAGCTTGCCAGCAGCACTTTCTTAGGGCCACTCGCCTCAAAATAAATAAGTGCTTCAACTTGGCTGACCCAGTTCTCTCTCAGGCACTGGGGAGTTAGTGAGCAACATAAAGTAAACAAGACTTGTTTGCATCCTTATTTGCATTTTCCCAGGGTACGATAGTTTTTCAGCAGGTACAATGATTTTGAACTTCCAATACAATTATTTTACATTGAAGACCTGGCAACTCTGGTCCTCCCAGTCCCAGCTCAAACCCAGAGATTGCTACACAAGCCATCAGTTGGGGGGGGGGAGGGGGGCGGTCCTTAGTCCTCCAGTATCCCACAGTGCCCTGCTCTCTCCCCACTCCAACAGGAAGAGAGAACCTTGACACCCTGCTAGGATCCTGCCTGGGAGTCCCCAGGCCTGTCCCAGTAGCAGGGGAAACCCTACCTCTACTCCTGCTTTCTGGCATGGGGCTAGAGTGCTTGGCCACTGGGGAGGGGCAGGGGCGAGGGAATTCCTGCCACCGCTGTAGAGCTAGGGGCCTGGGCTGCAGCATTCCCACAGGGGCAGGGATGAGAAGACCAGTTCTCCCAGTACAGTTGGGGGGGAGGAGAGGCAACCAGTGCATCAGCTAAGTTTGAGGGGGGTAGAAATGTATGCATTTAGTAGCGCTGGCACCACCACAGCACTACTACTGCCCAGGACACAAGGGAGCCTTGGGACATCTCTCAAGTTATCTTCACTGCCTCCGGAAGAAGGGGCCCCTTGTTCTCACTGCAGGCAGATCACCTCCCTCCACCTGGAAAGCACCCCTTTGTAGCTGACCAGCCCCAGGGATGAAACAGGTGTGTGTGTACATCCCCAACCCCCTTTCTCACCATGTTTTCTAGTGCTGCAGCACTGCAGTGGGACACCTGAGTAGGGCCCCGGCAAGCACCACACACGTGCTTAGGATGAGCACTGGCTGACACAATGGTACATCTGCAGGAAAATTTTTTTATTAAAGTTTACTGAGCCACAAGCCTCACTGAGGTATTTGCACCACTTCTGTCAAACTACCAAAGAGCATTGCTGAGACGGAACAAGGTTGTCAGTAGCAGGATTTATCTTCACACAAGTTTTGGGGACGCTGGATGAGCTAAGAATTGTTTTGCATTGTGAATAATGCCCAAATACTGGATACCAATAATTAAGACAATGAACCAGATGCAGCACATTCTAGACTACAACCCAGAATACAGGGTGTGAAAATCCCAAGTAAGGAAAATTAGCAATAGCAACATCTAATAGATGCATTTGAACAAGAGCATCAGTTTTCAAGGTATATAAAATATTGAGGTTCCCTCCCACAACCACCCCACAAATAAGCATGGATGAATCTTCTGGAAAAACTGAGTCATGGGCAGCAGGTCCAACTATACATCCAATGAGGATGAATGAAGTCTATGCATGCTCCGTGACAGTCAAATTCTCTCAACTCCTTTCATTCTTTGTCTTTTAAAATTTCTCAGTAGTTTTCAGAAAAATGTCTTCAATTCCTTGAAAATAAAGTTAGAAAAATGTGCCTCGCTATTTAAAAACAAAGCACCAACTGTATTAAAAAAAATATATCAACCGTCTATACAACCTAGAAATGTAGACTATAATCCAAATCTGTGCAATACTTTAGTGCACACACGGGTTCAACACACTGATGACAAGGAATTTTTCATGGTTCACTTAGTAGTTAAAAGGGCAGAGCAGTTACTAAAGTATTGCACTGCTTTCAATTTCTATTGTATAAGCATCTGGGGGAAAGAAAATTCCAACAGCCTCACAAATTTTCCATGAATGAAGCTGTTATGATTTAAAAAAAAAAAATAGTAGAAAGTCTAGAAAATGTCAGCAAGATTTGGAAACTCAAATTTTACTAATTTCATTTAGAACTTAAGAAGAGCAGCCTCTGGACATTCCCTACCAGAAAGAAAAATCCAGAATCCACAGAAAAGGTACAAGCAAACATACACCAAAATATATATATTTTAAAAAATGTTTTCTTGGCAGCCCAAATAGAAGAGGCCTAAATAATTATCATTTTATAGAGGAGGTGATAAAATGAGGGGTACAGAGACCTTTCACAAACTTAAAGTAATAAGAAAAAACACACTGCTGTTTACAGCAAGTGGGAAAAAGTATTTTTGGTGACTGAGGTCCCTCAGTGTTGACTGAGATCAATAAAAAAAAAAAAGTTAACCAACAAGCCTGAATTATACCGTCTATACCTCTTCAACAAAATTAGAAGAATTCATGTTTACACCATTTTTAAAATGAAATCCTAACTGGAAGAAAGTCAATACAGCAAATTTACCTTCCCCCACTTGAGTTCTTACTAACAGTCTGGTCTCCATAACGTGTATAATTCACTTGCCTGGGAAGACAGATTGGGAACCAATCCCTAATTTCCAACCTGCTAGTACAGTGCAATATTACTAATGCTGTGAATATAATCAAGCAATAAAAATAAAGATTCTCAGTTCTGTGATGTGTCAGGAATCTTTCTGTATAAACCCCCAAAATGCTAAACCGAGCATTTGGTCATTAGCAAGTGTTTCTATAACCCACATGTTGGCCCATCTGATTTTTAAGTTAATACACATTGAAAGTAAAAGATATCTCTCTCTCTCTCTCCACACACACACACACACACACACACACACACACACACACACACACACACACACACAGCGCGAGCGAGAGATCTCTATATATAAATAAAATCTCATTGGAAAGAGGCAGCCATTATACACAGGTGCTCCGCTCTGAATGCTACTTCCACTGGGTATGTCAATCCTAATCCATAATACCTTATCCTCTTTCATGTCTCTCTTTCTTTATTTTTCTTTTTTTTCTGAACAGACTTTATCATACTCTAGCATGGCTGTTGTGCAATATGCATTAGAAATGAAACTGTATGAACAGACTCATATACACTCAGAATCCAAGCTATATTCACTCACCTTTGTGACCTGAAGGACCTCTGTATCCAAGTTGAGATGTACAGTTTAGCTAAAGTTTCATTCTTCCTCCAATACTCTAATTTTTTTTAAAGTAAATTGGATTTATTTCTGACAAGGCCACACGTCTCTTCAAGAGAGCATATTTGCTCTCAGCTAGTTTAGTGGATTCTTGAAATACATCCCATGTTTTCAAACAAACTGTAAAACTGGCATGAGTAAATCCACATTTGATACATACGGTATATACAAATTCAAGGACTGTATAATTTTTTTCAGATTATTCAGTTTAACAAGATGTAATAAAATGCAGAAGCAAAGCACCGATGGCCATCTTTTCCAAGTGAAGAATATCCCAAAATCTCATGAAGGTCTTCAGGTCTCTAAAGTCTCTTCATTTGCTCCACAAGTGTCAACAACACAGATTAAACAACTTGTCACTGGGAAAGCACGGACTTTGGAGTTGGCTACCCATTTGTCTGTTTCGGTGTTATACTCAAGGATGTGCCCTAATCGACCCACGCCCTGGAAGCCAGCCAAGACGTACACTATAGAACCCACAGCAGCACATTTCACTGTTACACCCTTCCATGGCATTGGTGACACCATCTTCCATTCATTCATCTTAATATCATAATATTCCACATTGTCCAGGCCACCTTTAAACGAATCAAACAAACAACAATTAAGAGAGAGCACCAGGAACAGTACCACTTGCATAAAAATCTCACAGCAAATGCCTTTGAGAGATTAAAGAGCTTTCTACTATCAGTTATCTTCTCTCTATAGAGGTGCACCAAGAGTGCATGTGTAGATCATGTTTCTGTTGCTGGAGTTTCAGCTATGTAACTGTTCCTTATTATGAACTGCTATTTAATTCTGCATTAAAGATATGCTCTATACTGAAACTAGGTATGTAAAGTCTTTTTAAAAAGGAAAACGAAGTCGTATTTAAAAGTATGAATAAGCAGACTATAATATGTAGTATAAACACAAAAAACACTTTCTTAAAAGAAGGCCACAACTTTCTGAACTGGGAATAGTTCTTTTTTCTTTTGAAAAGTAAAAAAGTTACATTCACTCATCCATTTTAACTTTTCTATCACAAATAATTTGATTTTATAATACCTCTTAGCCAAAGGTCCAAAAAGCAGTTAAGTCTCCAACATCTTACTATCATTATTTCTTCAATAACTCTAAATTATAGTTCTAAATTCTAAAATCACTAGACACCTAAAAGTTTAAAAATACTTTATGACTAAAGATATATGATGTAGGCACTGCTTGTCTCTCTCTTTAAACCAGTTACACAGCAATGACTGCAGTGAAAAAACAGTAGCCAAATCAAGCCAATTATCCTTGAACTAGAGGAATGTACTGCAAAATAGCGCTTTTGCATACTAAATGGCACACATTTTGAAAATGGGTGCTGAACCAATAAGTCATGACACTCCCTGCCAGTAGAGCTTCTGCAACAATTTTGACTAATTCAATAAAATAGATCTACATATTTTATCAACATCTTTTAAGTTGGCATATCTTTAGTAACTATTTTAAAAAATAGTTTGCAATTGAATTAGGATCAGGTCAGAAAACAAATATTCAAATTTTCAGCATGAATAACAAAACATTTGCCATTAAATTGTCATATTTACCTGAATACAAGATGCACCCCCCTGATAATTAGATTCTACACACAATATATAATTTATAAATTTATTATAATTTTTGATGTATGGAATTTAATTATTGGGGAATCATCTTAAATTTGTCCCATCCCCCCCACTACTGCCGGTGGTGAGAGGGAAAAGGTGATAAGGGGGGCAGTAATGGGGCAGGCAATGGGGGGGGTCAGGTGGTAGGGGACAGGCAGTGAGAGGCAGGCAGCTTACCCCCTGCTTCCTGTCCTCCCCACACATGCCCCACACTGCACCTGAGGCTGCTCTGATGCCTCCTTCTCCCCCCTCCACACCATTTCTGCTCCCTGAAGACTCAGGTCCCCAGCCCCCATTCCTTTCATCTCCCCCACGGCCCAAAAGTCTCCCTCTAACTGCCCCTTTGCTCCACGTCAGCAAGCTCCATCCCTGCTGCAGCCTGGGGCATGGAGCCTTCCCTGTAGCAGTGGTGCGGAGCTGGCATTGCTGTTACGGGGCTGGGCTGGAGCACATGCTCTGAGCTCCAGGCTGCAGTGGGGAGAGAGCCTGCTGACACAGAGGAAAGGTAAGGAGGAATGTGGCAGAGGGAGAAGCTGCACAGTGGGGAGACTGGGGGTTGTAGGGGAGGAGTGGCAGGGCATACAGAGGCAGCAGGGGGGAGAGGGGTGGGGGAGAAGAGGGCAGGTGGCAGCTGCAGCTGTGGCTCCGGTTCCAGCCATCTGCCCCTCACTGCCTCATGCTCAATTGTAAGGCAAAGGGCTTCCCCACTCCTCCCATCATGTTAAAAGTGGGGGTGGGGAACCTCTTATATTTGAGTAAATATGATAAACAGTTTTAGTTTCCAAGCATTTTAGTAACACTAGAAAATTAACACTCACATTCAAGGTCCTGTAAAGAGAACAAGCATTATTCCAGACAGGGAAACAAAGGGTAAGTGTTCTCAACAAAGGATATACAATAAATTATGCATTTCAAACAGGGCAATTAAAATTGGTGTCCAGTAGTTCTTTTCTTTTTAGTTACTGATTAGTATACCCCTTTAGACTTAATTCTGTGAGAGCATCTGTCTCTCCTCCTCTCAGAGAGCAAAGCACACAATCAGCACCTTTCAAAAAAACAAACATGAAGAGGAATAAAGTTACCCTTTTATTGGATGAAGAGTTCAACAGCGGAAAGACTGATGACTTGAAACTAGCTCTCTCTCTCACAGGGCTTCCAATAGTAAAAGGTTTTGGAAAGCAGGATTGCAGGTCAGCTGGTACCCAAAAAGTGTGTGCGTGGGGCGGGGGAGAAAGAAGGACACCTGCAAAATTTCTGACACTGGAAGCGTATGAAGCAGAGGTCAGCCACCTACAGCCCATGGGCCATACTTGACCTGCAAACCAAGATCATTCAGTCCCTGGGTGCATGTGAATTGGGATGTTGGTGGACTGAGGCGGCCTGGGGGGGGGGGGGGCCCCCCCCCCTCCCCCCCACTCACTCCCACATTGCAGCTGCCACTGCACCCCTTGATGGCAACTGGCAGCAAGGGTAAGGAGCAACTGCAATAGGGGGTGAGAGAGTAGCCCTTTGTACAGATCAGAGAGGACCAGGACAGCAGCAGTTAGCCTGAGCAAAGCAGGACACAAGAGGGCCTAATTAGTCAGGTGTTGGGGGGGGAGGGGGAGTTGAATTTTTTTTTTTTTAAACATATTCATGCTATTAAATAGAACAATTCCCTACTTTGGTTGACAGACTGCATATTGCTATCTTCCATTTTTTGTTCAGAACTGTTCAATTGTATAGAATGTCAGCAGAAATAATACTTTGTAGATAAACCGGAGAATTAATTAAAATCAAAATACCTAAGCCATTTTGTCCACCCACAGCAAATATTTTGTCTTTCACAAACACCAACCCATGATTCTTCCTAGCTTCAATCATTGGGCATAGTTCAGTCCATCTGTAAGAGAGAAATAGAAAGAGAAAGTTATTTATACATTCTTACTCATTTATTAGATTACATGTCTTTTCCATTTCTTGGGACTGGAAAAAAATGTGAAATTTCGAGGAGTAGGCTTCCAACTTTTCAATCAAATCGTAAGCATCCTATGTTTCCATTTAGTATTCCTGCCCCTTCCTCAAGTCAATTCGTTACCACATGCAATTCTTCTCATCTTCCTACATTCTTAACTATCTGAAAAGTTAACTAAACCAGTAGAACAGCTGGTAACCAAAGGTATCAACAGTTGGTACTTACGTTTCAGTGGCTGGATCATAAACTTCACAGGAATTAAGGACCCTTCCAGAAACATTGTTTCCCAAGCTTCCTCCACATACATAAATGAGACCATTTGCTTCCACCATGCCATGACTGCAACGTTGAGTCAGCATGCTAGGCTTTGTGTGCCAGCTTTCTGTTCTTGTATCATAACATTCAAATAAATATAGAGCAGAATTTCCTTAAAAAAAAAAATTATTATTTTAATGGTTCTATTTTAAAAGAAAATCAGCAAACAAACAGTAGTATTGAAGAATGTTTCAATCCTCACTTAAAAGCAAAGATGCTTTTTATCTCCCTCCAGTACAATTTGTAACTGCAGAAAATTTTGAAAGATTCTACTTTTGACTGATTTCCTGACTCTTAAATTTCTACCTTTCAAAGTACAACATACATTTAATGTTTAATATTTGTGTTTTTAAATTGGTGAGAATCATCTGGATACTTCATTGAGAAGGGATCATGGAAGAACTGAACAGGGACATGGAATATTAAGTTCAGAAGTTATCAATAAAATGATAGTCTCTGTCTGTTATTAAATGATCCCAAACAGACATTAAACAGATGAATGTGTGTAAGTTGTTTTTGCAGAGATTCATACAAACAGGAATGGGCTTACAACATATGGCTTGATTAATCCATATGATATGCCATCCCATTTATTACAATGCATTCTTTTTTAAATAATATGGCTACATTAAGTTGGAACATATTACTGTTTTATTATTGACCATTTAGCTGCTAAGCACTATTTGATGTTCTACTTTTTCCCATGCGTTGGAAAAGGTATTTCCACATTTTTTCTTACTTCTTTTCCTAAAAGAAACCAATCCAATTCCTGCTGATATCAATGGGAATCTTTCTATTGAAGGTAAAAGGAAGTTTAATAAGACATACTTAGGTGTATGCCTGAACTGAAGGACACTGGACAAAAGGCTTTTTCTACAGCAGGGGCAGGCAAAATATAGCCCAACATGGGATTCTGTCCAGCCTGTGGCAGCTCCCTTGGACCTGCTCGGCCCAAGCACAGGGGGCAGTGCAGCAGTGAGACACGCTTCCCAATAGCCCCCAGTGGCAGCTACCTGCAGTGGCGGCTCCTTCCAGCTACCACTGCCAGTATCACCTGCTGCCACTGGACCTAACCCCACTGCTTGGGCGCTCCAGCCCGTCTGCCCGCACCCAGTGCCAGAGGCACTGGATGTATCAGGTGAGCAGGGTCTCCATAGAGACCGGCCCGGGACCTGGGGGGGGGCAGGGCATGCAGATGGGAAGGTGGGCTGGGAGCATCATCCAGGACCAGGCTGGGCAGACAGAGATGGGGCTGGGGCCCAGGGCAGAGCCACGATCCACTGCCCAAACATCCCTGTGACAGGGGCTGGTTCCGTGGGCAGGAGTGTGCAGGGAATGGATAATGGCTCTGCCCAGATCCCAATTCCAGCCCTGGCCTCAGCCCCACCTGTCCTACTCCCAGACGCCACTCCCTGCCAACCTGCAGCCCCATCCTATCCACCCAGTCACATGCCCTACACACATGGGTCCCAGCTGGTTTCCACGTAGACTCTGGGATCACTGAGTGATGACAGCATGGGGCTGAGGCCTGGGGCAGAGCCACCATCTGCTCTCCACATGCCCCTGACCACAGAACTGGCACCCATCACGTGGATGTATGGGCAGTGGATCATGACTCTGCCCCAGGCCCTGGCCCTTTGCTGTCCCCGCCTTGTGATCCTGGCCCTGGCTGCCCATCCCACTCCTGGATGCTGCTCCCCACCCACCCACGGCTTCATCCCATCCGCCTGGCCAAGTGCAGGGCAGAGCCACTTAAGGAGTTTTTGTGAGCTGTTGTAGCGGGGACGGTGTGCTGACTCAGCCTGTGACAGCTTACCAAAACTCCTTAAGTGGCCCTCTGGTCCAAATAATTGCTCACCCCTTGTGTCAGGGTCATTTTTCCCCTCATTGCCTAAGGTGTCATCATCTGCTTTAATGTAAGGTCTCTCTCCTCACACACTCTCTTGTCTTTAGGACGTAGAATGCTACACAAATAGTCCTCAAAACCTACATGGTGATGACTGAATTTTTAGGTCTGATAGAATCATAGAAAGTTAGGGCTGGAAGGAATCTCAGGAGGTCCCATCTAGTCCAACCCCCAGCTCAGGGCAGGACCACCCCCAACTAGATCATCCCAGCCAAAGTGTTGTCTAGCCAAGTCTTGAAAACATCCAAGGATGGAGCTTCCACCACCTCCCTGGGTAACCTGTTCCAGTGTTTTACTATTGTCCTAGTGAGAAAATTCTTCCTAATATCTAACCTAAATTTCCCTTGCTGCAACTTGACACCGCTGTTCCTTGCTGTCATCTACCACCAGTAAATCTAGCTCCATCCTCTTTTGAACCCCTATTCAGGTAGTTGAAGGCTGCTATTAAGTCCCCTCTCAGTCTCCTCTTCTCTAGACTAAATAAGCCTAGTTCCCTCCTTTCCTCAGAAGTCATGTCCCCCAGCCCCATCCCCATTTTTGTTGCCCTCTGCTGAACTCTCTCCAGTTTGTCCACATCCTTTCTGTAGTGGGGGATCCAAAACTGAACGCAGTATGCCAGATGTGGCCTCACCAGTGCCGAATAGAAGGAAATAACCACTTCCTTTAACTTGCTGGCAACACTCCTACCAATGCAGCCCAGTATGCTGTTAGCATTCTTGGCAATTAGGGCACAATGCTGGCTCATATTCAGCTTATTGTCCACTGTAACCCCCAGGTCCTTTTCTGCAGAGCTGCTGCCCAGCCAGTCAGTCCCCAACCTGTACTGGTACATGGGATTGTTACGTCCTCAGTGCAGGACTTGGCACTTGTTCTTGTTGAACTTCATGAGATTCCTTTAGGCCCAAGTTTTCAATTTGATAGTCCAGTGGTCATGCTTAGTTCTATTCAGAATTTCCTGTCATCTCTACTAAACAATCAGAAAGAGGAACTGCACACACAGAAGGGAACTTACAGGTGTTCAAGTACACCATTAGTATTAGTTGTTGTTCAAATTATCAATAGGGATTGTGAAAGAACTGCATTACAGTTTTTTTAATGGAAGAGCTTCTAAAATGAGTGAATGTTACCAGTGCAATGCTTCCTATTTCTAAATATGGAAAAAGAATTCTATTATTTGCAGTAGTTAAGATTTTCAAGGTAAAGCTAAAATAGTATTCCCAAGGCAACACGGGAGAACAGGAAGAGATCGCATTACCCAAACTGAAATAATAGATCTGCAAGAACTGTACCTTCCCTCAATTAAATCAGTATACATATTTTTATTAAACAAACAGTGACAGTCACTGCAACAACACATAATAAATTAAGTCTTGCAAATCTGAGATTTTAGTCTCTTCTACAGCTAGATAATTGTGGGAAGATTGGAAAACTGTTTATATTAAAATACAGTTTAATCAGGCAAAATGTTATTTATTTTTCCTAACGTTTGCAGTTTGGTAGAGTTAGAATAGAAATGTCCTGTTGGACAGCTGGATGGCATTTATCAGATTTTAAAATACTTCCATAAAATTAATACAAACATTTTAATTGAATCTTCATTTGCTATTCCATCTTGAAAATTTATAAGGTGAAAAGGGGTACTATGCAGTGTAATCGAAAAAGGCAAAACTTAAGAGTAGTATGCATTACAGATGTAATAACTACACTAGGTGTTGGATATAAAAACTATACAGACAAAACAGAAAACATACTACTTTATGGGCTGTCATTTAGAGAGGATAGACCTTTACTTCCAAGTAACCTCTAGTTTTTAGAGGCATTTCAATAAAGTAGTTTTCAAATCTTAGAGTGAGGGAAAAGCAGTTACTTCATATCTACAACACTAGATGGCAGCTACGTACTATTAACAGCCATGTGAAGACCAATTAAAGTACAATAAATGCTGTGTTATCTGGCATCCATGAGGAATAGGGAGTGCTGGTTAATCAAATATGCCGGTTACCTGAGAAGTGTCTTTGCCTGTTCAGGCCGCTGCCCCTCCCACCACGTCTGGTGCACCAGGCTTTAACTCCCTGGCATTAGTGTGGCAGGGGATGGGGAGGGGGGGCCTCACGCAGGCTGCTTTGTCTTGGGCTGTGGTCCAAAGTCGGCGAAGTGGGACTCAGTGAAACCAGATGTGCCACAGGGGGACTTCCAGTTTCGCTCTTGCTGCATCGATTGGCATGCCAGTTAATAGAGCATGCTGGCTAATAAAATGCCGGATAACATAGCTTTTACTGTATTTTATGCCTGTGTTAGCCCCTGATGATGATGATGATATTGTTTATCTTCTGCTCACTTTTAGTTTTGCCTTGCTACTAAGTTTGCAACAGGGCAACTTAAGTAACCTACTACCAATACTACTGTCATGGTATTAGATGTTTTGGCAGAATACAAAGTAATCCTTTAGCTCTTGCACTGTTTCTGAAGGAAAAAGGAAGCCTCTTCATTAAATGAAGAAAACAGAATGAAAGTAGAACTAGCAAGCAACTTATTTAAACAACTACTCCCTTAACAGGGATCCTTCCTTATAAGAATAGTTAAGGAAAGTTTCACTACCAACAAGAATGGATATAAACCAGTCTTTTCCTAATGGTTAGGGCCATTATAGCCAGACCATTAATGGAATTCATATCTTGAACCCTGGTGTGCATACAACTTTCCTGCTGTTGCATTAGTGCTGATAAAGATGATCCTGGTCCACATTCATAAGTAATAAAAGGTTAACGAGTTCTCTGCATTTACACCAGTAAACTGAGAGCAGGATTGGAGCTCTCAAATTTATTTGCTTGTAGCTAATTTACTCTGGTATTTTCTTTGTGAGCTGAATATAGTGCAGATATTGTTAATAAAATAGTTCCACTGAAAATGCATTTAGACATGCAATAAAAAAGAAAAAAAATATTCTCAGGGCCTCAGAAAGAATGTGTCCTGTTTTGGCACAAGCAAAGGACCATTACAGACAAGCATTACAGAAACATCTGTAGTTTCTTTTCAGTAAGTCATAGAAATCAGGAAGCTTTACATGTATTCTCAGTTTGTTTTTTAAAGATTGTGTCTTACCCACTTCTGAACCACCAGATGTATAAATTTTGCCCTCAGCAGCACAGGCTGCAAGGCTATCTCGAGGTGTTGGAGGTCCTAGTTTGGAATACCAGCTATCCTTCACCACATTGTAGCAGTCCATTCGCTTTATAGGGAAGAGCTGGGAACCACCCAGAATATAAACTACGTTGTCCCAGAAGACACAAGCTGCATCTCTGCGCTTTTCAAAGGGACATCGGATGTCTGTCCAGCTATAATCCTGCATTACAAAGAACAGGTAATGTCTAACAGATTATATAAACCTACCTGTAGTATTTTCAAACAAAGTTTTTCACAGAGATTCAGACAGTCCACACACGTTTCTTTTTTCAAAACAAACACCAGTACTTCATACATCCTGAAATTTCTTAGACCACACGCACGCGCGCGCACACACACACACACACACACAATGAACCATGACATTATTGATTTCTAGTTTCCACTCCCTTTGCATGCTCAGAATAGTTTCTCTGAAAACTGTCCTTTCAACAAAAAAAACTCCCAAAAACCAAAAACCTGTACTACTGCCAACATGTTGAAAACGATGCAAGCCACCAATACAAGAACATACTGTTCTTTCATGGAAGTGGAGAAAGACATTTAATACTGGGAAACATTTTTATTTCACAGAAAAGAATTCTAAGTAAAAAATGAAAACAAAGGAGGGGAAAAAAGTTAAGTGTCATCAAACTGATAATAAAATTGAAAATATGTATTATACAGCTTTTATTGCCATGACAACTAAAATAATTTTTAAATAGAATTTATCACCACAAATTATATTTAGCTACTGACAGTGAGTACCACTAATAAAAATTAAGAGCACTGCTGCGAGAAATGATAGCAGGGAACTAAGCTCCGACTGGCTGACAAAAGTATAGCAAAGTACAAGGGTAACAGGAAGAGGAGACTATCATTGGCCAAATTCTGGAAATGATAAACTCAGAAGCTGACTCCATATTTGATAGTGCAGCTTTACCATGACTACATCTGTGATCATTCCGAGTTTTATAATTTACACCAATAGCATGAATTGCACCCAACGATGAAAAGGAAACCAAGTCTCTGGAGACTTGAATAATGTAACTCTCTTAAGGCACTAGGAGAGCTAGGTTGGTTATTTTCTGGACCCAGAGAAAGAGAGATTATTTGTATTCCTGAAATAAGATACCTGGAGTAAAATCCTAATCTTGCTTAAATCAATAAGAATTTAGTATTCATTTCAAATGGACCCAATATTTCACTCATGGATTCCTTCACTCTACCTTAAAAGCTGTAGGGCCTTAATCCTCAAAGTTCACCCAATACAAACAACGTAATATCATCTGAAAAAGTATAACACATGTCTGATACAACAATTTAGGAAAAAAGTCTTACAATACCCCATGCCATATTTTTATAGCAAATACCATATAGCCCTAATTAATATTTAAAACATAAGTAGCGAATAGCGATATGTTCCACCGGTCTCATGGTTGGTTTAGGTTTGGCAAGGAGAGGTAATATTTCTGTAAGCAGCTGAAGTTTCCACAGTGCGGATACCTTGCGCACAGTCCGAATTTACTTCCTTCCTTCCTGTGGTTTGGCTTTATCAGTAACAGAAATACAAACCAAGACAGAAATATCAACCCAAGTATTCTCTCCAAACTTGGTTATTTCTAGGGTTTTCACTACAGAACCAACCTTTTTTCTCCCTTAGATCCATACTTATAATCCTGGTCAAAACAAGCAACATGCACACATCAACTATAATTGTCTTTTTGCAGAGTGAAAGACTCCAAAATGAGGATGATGTACCAAAAAGCTGCATTCTTGTGCATCATTCTAGATTTAGAGGTTTTCTTGTATGAAAATTTACACTACAAAAAACTTCCTTCCTCTTGAGTTCTGTTTGTTTCTCAATTTTTTTGTATTAGAGGTGGTGAAGCAAATTTGACTAGGTACAACTAATCCAAGTTCAGTTGTGGCTGGGAAGCACAAACTTGAAGCCTAATCAATTTAAAAAAAAGGAACCAAGATGCATTTTGAACTTGACAATGTCCCTTGATAGTCTTCTTCTGAAAAGCATGTTCCTCCATGCAAGTGTGTTGATTGTCATGTATCCCTACTGAATTGTTTGGTGCTAATATTGCCTGACAGGTCTTTCCAGCCAAGGGATGCAAGTTTTCAACACCTCTTGAACAAAAAGGTATACTAAAATCAATTTTATACCAAGTAATAAAGATAAGTCATTTCATTAGTACTACCAAGCTTAAGTACTGTATATACATAGGTGGTTTTGAGAATATCAGTTAACTATACTTTTTAAACTGTAAGCCCTTACAGCAGGAGCGGGCAATTCTTTTGGGCAGAGGGCCACTTACGAAGTTTTGGCAACCTGTCAAGGGATGCATGGGTAGCCACACCCCTTTGACAGGTGCCCTGCCCCCTGGTTGCCACCTTGTGACTGGAAGTCCTGCCCCCTAACCCCTGACCTTTGCCACCAGATGTCTCTCCCCTTGCCCCCAGAATTACTCCTTTTAGCAAGGGGTTTTGCCATCTCAGAACCAGAAGAATACCAAATTATATTCTAAAAAGCAAACATCTAAAACATTCATTAATTTGATTTCAAAAAAATATTTTTGTCCTGGTTTACATGTGTTTGTGTAGTGTACATAGAAGTGATTGTATATAATAGCATAAAATGAAGTCTTACTCTTGTGTATTGTGTGGGGGGTATAGGTTTGTGAAGGGCTGTGGGTATGTGGGGTGTGGGGGAGGGTGTAGGTGTGTCTGTGGGGGGTGGATAGGTGCGGGGGGGATGGGGTGAGGGAGCATCACACCCCCCCCACACCTGAGGTCATGGGCCCCATGCTCCCACGGTCTGGCGATGTAGCCAGGAGCCACGTGGTGCTGGAGCAGTGCAGGGACAGGAAAGCAGGTAAATAGCTGGGGGTGTGGCCGGGCTGGGCTGGGCTGCTGCATCCTGCAGACGGCTCCCCCTGGGTCCTACTGCTCCTGGCTCCTGACATCTTTGACAGGCAGCCAGGAGCAGATAAACATTTTCTAAATTTTTTAGGGGCCCCACGGGCCGGATAAAATGGCCTGGCAAGCTGGATTTGGCCTGCGGGCCAGATTTTGCCCACCCCTGCCCTACAGCATGGGGCACACTTTTCTCTTTACCTTTCTGAACATTGCCAAGTGTACCATCAGTGCTAAGTTTATGCCACCATCAAATGCAAATGAAGAATCTTAAATGTATTCTGAGGTTACCTTTGGATTAAAGTATCTGCAGGACTGTGGCTGTGAGCCTCCAAACAAAGCAATGCGATAATCATGTTTTTTCCTTCGTGGTCTTGTACCCTCTACTAGCTCTTCTCTGTCCTCTGGAGAAAGAAGGTGATATCGCATTCCACCTACAAGAAAAGCAACAGTTATCAAATCCATGTGGCATGAACACAAAGAGGGGCTTATTTACTAGAGCAGGGACTTGTAATTTTCAGAAAAATTAAAGTGACACATTCCAAATAACTGGCATCTTTCTTAAATCTACTTTTACTTATGAAAATAAAATCTGAGTTTTTCCTCCATTTACGAAAGAACCATCATAGGACACAATAGTGGTACCCAGCTTTAGATCATCTCAGACAGGTCCAACGTCAGAATAAAGTTAAAGTTGACCTTGTGCTAAATGTCAATTTAAAGGTCTACGTATTTAGTTTGACTTAGCCTACTTAACCAGAAGTTGCCAGGTTAAACCAAGTAGAAGGAAACACGCACAGAAAAAGACAAAAAACTGGAAAATCCTAGGAAAATAAACTAAGCAGAAAACTTAGACGTGCTCTAATATGTCTCCTAAACCCTGGCTGCCTGTACACGAGCGCGGAGGCTGCTCCGGCATGCTGTATTTACAGCATGTTGGAAGAGACTTGATTAACTGAGTCTGCTGGAATGCGGCAATTACTGCACTCCAGCAGCCTCTCCCATATCAGTGTCCTCACGCTTCAAAACGACGGCAGAAATACTCGAACGAAAGCTTGAATGAGCTTTTGTTCAAGTGTCCCTGCTGCCACTTTGAAGTGTGGGTATGCAGATACACGAGATGCTGCAGCCCTTTAATTTAAATGGCTCTTGGAGCCACTCTAAATTAAAGCTCTGCCCATTCACCCCTGGAGTACGTATAAAAGTGCCCCCCTGGGCCCAATTCTGCACTGTGCTGAAAGTTCTAAATTCCAATTAGTTTAACTGAGAGTTTAACACTCACGTGCGATAAAGCCTTCAATATAAAGGAAAGGTGGGAAGGAAAAAAAATTAGAATAATGTTGCTTTTAAAGCAAGGCTGAACTAAATTATTTCCTGCCATTCAACTAGCACAGGAATACAGTTCAGTTTTATTTCCAAAACCATGAATAAAGTTTATTAATATATAGACTCTTCTTGGGCATCTGATGAAATTAAGAATCACATTAGTTACCCATGTTTGAAGAGAGGACGATTTTGTCCCCATTCTCCTTTTAAATAAATGCACATAATGATGAGACATTTAATTCAACATTTTTAGAGTATAACATCTGTAGCTCTAACTGTCAGTCTGCATTAAAGCTGGAGATGGTAGAAGGTAAGTTAAAGGTCCTTAAGTTGCCTTGGGAGACTTTTGAGTCTCAGAAATGTTGACATAAACATTGTTGATTGACTGTAATCTAAACTGGAGTAATATTAAAGTTATCAGCCACTCTCAAAGGTGCGCTTACCCTTCCAATTACCCCTAATAAATCCTAACAAGGAAGCCACATTCTGTTACTCAGCATTAAGTTGGAATCACTTACCAGGGACTTTCATTTTTTTTCTCATTAAAACTGCTAAACTCTAACAGGTGCTATTTATATAACAAGCTGCTTATCAGCTTCAACTAAATGACATGTCCTAGAATGAATAAAGCTAGTGCCAAATTAAAACTAAAAATGCAAAGAAAATATTTTCACTTCAGTGAGCAATTGTCAAACAACAACAAAAACTAATCTAATCATAAAGACTACTAAAATATTCAACTAGGAAACAACTTACTGATCACCATTTTAAGGCACTCGGGGTTATCCTGAATAAGTGGTTCCGCCTGAACAGTTTTACTTAAGAAATTTTTCGATATGAGAGGAAATCTGACTTTAGCAAGAATGTCAACCATGTATGGCTGGCGATTAGGTTCATCATATTTCAGCCACCTGACTGCTGCATCATAAACCTGAGAAAGAGAAAAAGAGAGGGAGACACACACAAGCAATAAGAAACCTGATAAAGTCTCCAAAGTGGCAAAGCAATTGAGTAGTTGGAGATCTATATAAATTGATGATCCAAGAATAAGGTGATTCAACAAAATCAGTCATTATGTTAAACAGAATAAATACATGCCTTTGGGAAAAAAGCAACTTATAAACTCGTTGTATACTGACACTTTTATAGAGATCACATATATTTCCAAAGGTAAATTGTTGCGGGTATAGTCCTAAATGACAAGGTTTTTCATGTACAGAGGTAGTGGTGAAATCATAGCCAACAATGAAGATGTTGTATTACAACACAATAATTATACCTTTCCCTGTATCTGATGCATTTTATCTGATGTTTATAACTTGCTGCATGGGAAGTTTTTCAATCACACTAGTGTTATGCGTCTTAGAACATGTATGGTAAAGTGAAATAAAAAATCCAAACATCACACTTATTTGGAGGAGGTTCTCGTTAAATAAGGTTTTATTAAAATGACAGCAGATTATTGAAAATGTAACATTAAGGGTAAATTAGCTGCTATATTTTCCTTGAATCTTATTTACTTACTACAGGGAGAGAATCCAAGTATGTTGAGATGTACTACATAAGCATTTCTTCTGTTCCCCCTTTGCTTGAATTTTTTTGGGGGGTGGGGTGTTGTAGGAAAGTAGTAGGGGGAGCACAGCCTTGGTTTACAGGCTAAAATATTGGACTGCACAACTGCCAAATGTATACAGGGAAAAATCCTTATCTACAGGACTCACTTTGGAGTCACTATAGTATAATTACAGCTGATTATGATGTCACAAAACCCATTTATTTTAACTGAAACTGATCAGAACAAGTGAATGATTGGAGTTTGTTTGGAATAGTAGCTATTTTGCCATCAAATCATTTGCTACACAGTGGGTGCATCTACACATTCATTAATACGCTTTTGCTACTGCGTATTAAGTTAGTACCTCTGATATGAGGTACTACATAAAGGCGCATTGAACTGCCCTAATGTGCAGTAGCAAAAGCAACTGCCTTTTTAGTGATGCTTAATGGGCAGTAGACTAATTCTACTGCGCATTAGCATATTAGCACCGTCTTGCCTGACACTTTACTGTGCAGTAGAATAGGCTACTGAACATTAAAGCACACATGTAGATGAGCCCAACGAGTTACTCAGAGCAAAGTCTTCCTGACTAAATGACATTACTTGCCAAATCTCTATGAATAAGAAGTAACAAAGGAAGGAGTTAACCATTAGAAATAAACCTAGCTCAACACCATGGGCTAAGGCAGTGGTTTACTCACATTACAGAGTGTACAAAGATTATCTGAATATAGTAATCACACTTCCACCCTTACTTCACTGGCATGACACATCCTGCTTACATGTAATCACAGGAGGATTTATGCAGCATAAGAGTCTATACACCCATTTTCCTAAAGGCTTTTTAGGATACCAAATTCTACTTACACAAAATCCTTTTGCAATTTCAACTGAATTAGATCACACCCTTTCAGTCTGAGGCCAGCTGTATTGCTTAGTAAAGCTTGCAATTTACTTTACTTGGAATTAACTACTTTCTAAGGTGTTGCTTTGGGGCCTCAGTGCTTTCCTGTATGTATACAGCTATACCTCTGAACTGAAACATGAACTAACACTCTTTTTCATAATTTGCAGCTAGTCAATTCTTGTGTCTTTGCCAAATGATGCTGAAAAAACTCCACAGACTGATACAAAATAGAGCTCCATTGTTAGTCCTTGCCAAAGTCTTCCAAATTTATGCTGCTGCATATGTAAGCACTTACTTGCATGTACTACACTAATTTATATCTTATCAGCCATATGTCATGTACACGCATGGCACTCTGAAAATAGCAAGAATCACACACTTTACACCTCCACTTAAACTTCACCACACCATTTCAACTGCTGCATTTATCTGGTAGAAGGCACATTTGACTAAGAAAACGGGGTCTCACCTGATCTTCTGCCCGCACAGTCAGGGTGTCCTGGTTCAGAAGATGTGTAACACGCTTAACATCAAGCTGTAGGAACTCATCTGTTTTGTAAACTTCAGTGAAGTGCTGATGGATGAAGTCATCTGCTGTGGCTTTCAGTTCTGGACAGTCTAGGCACTCTGCTAACACACTTATACCTGCATAGAGAATGGGAAAAATATAGACATTTTCAAAGTTTGTAGGTTAATGAATTTATCATATACACAAATAAATTAAACTTACAGAGCACCCAAAGTTTTTTTTTAAAGATTTTCATAATTCATCTGTAACTTTAAATAAAAAGCTAAATGCACCCCTTTGCAAAGCACAAACTTCTGGTTTTGATTAAATTGGCAGAATGGCAAGGATGTAATACTACCTCCATGTCATGCCATTATTCCTTTAGCTCCCAGCCTTGTAGCTTGTAATTAGAGTCAGGCTTTACATCGCTCAACAGGTTATCATTCTCTTTGGCACCATATCCTCAACATATGTGCTCTCTAAATAACAACGGAAGCAACAACAGTACTTTAATTCTGCCTGAGTCATGCTGTTATGGGGCAGAGTAAAGAGCATGGATATAATACAATGAAATGCAAACTACATGAACAACCAACCACATTTATTTCCCAACTCCAGAGAGGAAACAAATATAAAATAGCATTTGAAGTCAGATTTTAAGTAACACAACACTAAAATGGAGTTCCCATTCCTTCTTTTAATGCATCTTATGATTTTTCCTTTGATTTAAGTATTTTATAGCATGCATAGAGGTATGAAGTATCAATCTAGTAATTTTCACAGGTGCATCATCCATTTAAGAACAAAGTAAGACTACAATGCTCAGATCTAGTGTAAGGAACACAATGATCTATGCCTACTGACACAAGGAAACCTAAAGTAAAGGCAACCATTCTTTTCTTACTCTAAGTCAGAGTGCAAAGCTGGGTTTATGGAGCACGGGGTTGTTTATATTCTTCGGTCAGTGGAAATATCAAGTACTTCAGTTTGCAAAAAAACCAAAATATTGATTTGGCCTTGCTTTCCTCTTTGTGGGATAAATTAGCCTTAGAGTGGAAAAAAGGTTCTTACAAGGCATGGTTTTCTACTAAAGAAAAAGCAGTACAAGAGGTTTTCATGCGTCTTTAAAGCAAGACATATTCATCAGAAGCCATCATCTTTCATTAACAAAGTATTAATTCTACAGCTGCGCTCAAATGAAAGAAAGGTCAACTGAATCATTAGAATTCAGACAAGTCATGACATTTCTGTTGACATCTGATAGGGTCACACTTCCTTTGAAGCAGGTAATGTCATTTTTTTTGTTATTTTAAATACAGAATTGGTCAGAGTCGAATGTCAACAGGGTTCTGTAATGCAACAGATTTGGCTAAAAAGTTTAAATTAAAACAAACATTTGAAATACTGGTACTGTCCCCATAAGATTTATGAACAAGCACTTAGTTTTGCTTGTGGAAGTTTGGTTGTTTGGTTTTTTTTAAATGGAGAAAAGCAAACAGTCCATGTTACATATCAAATGCCTGTTGAGTTTATTTTTGAGACACTACTCTCTCAGTTGGAATGAGCAACAGCCAAGAACAAAAATAATTTTGATACTTTTTTAAAGTAATAAAAAGCTAAAGCTTATTTAAGCTCATTTTGGAAAAATAAAATTACATCTGAGCCAACTTGTACCTCAAAGTCCAGCCAACAAGACTGAACGTTCCAAGTTACTGAAAAACTGAGGCCTTCAATCCAGCAGCGGGCTCCGTACTGGTGGATCCATGCCTCCACAGAGCCTCAGTGGAGTTAGTGGGCCTCCACACAGGCAGAGCTAGTTGCAGGACTGGGCCTCCTGTTTGTAATGAAAATGACAACAGTTCCTTAAAAAGCATCACGGATATGAGACTTCGATCTATTTCTGAAGAAGAGGATCCTATACTTCAAATTCACCAAGTTCTTGTAAACATTTATATAACAATTACTAGTAAAAGTCACTCTGAAACTTTCACAAGATTACTCATGCGAAATAATTTTTAGCAATATTTTTGGTTTATAAGCTTTCAAACAGTCTCAAAAGTTCAGTGGCACATGCAATGACACATACCTGAATCTGTGCAAGTGTTCTGTCTTTTAAAGAGGGGGGCAGGGGAAGACTACAACCATAAATATTATTTGACATTTTTAAAGCACAACCACATTTTTAAACAGTGTCTTTAATATAACACATCTTTCTTACCAAGACAATTTGAAGCATCAACTTGCTCTTTCAAAAAATCCACACACATTTTTTTCACAGGTTCAATTTGATACTGGTTTGCAGCATCTAGTAAAGACTGGACATTATTGCTGTTAACAGAAATCCTGCAAAACATATTATGCAAAATTAGCACAACTAAAACCACTCCATGACTGAAACATTAAAAAAAAGTTACACAGAGAGCAAAAGGATTCCCTCTTTACTACACCCACAAGGAAGTCTTACCTACAAAGCATGTTCTTCTTGCCACGTTCTCTTCTGCCCTCCCCCCATTGTAACAAATGCATATAAGTAAATACAGCAAAACATGAAAGTAAGTTGGAACTACCTGGCCCTTAATTCTGAAAGATGAACCTTAAACTTTGGACAACTGTAGTCAATCCATGCCTGATTTTGCAATTCTGACTTGTGTCGTTAGCCCGTACTCTCTCAAAGAGAAATGGATTGACGGGACAGCATTTCTCTTTCTAAAGTCATCCTGGTACCCCTAGTAGCCAAAATAGCTTCATTATACACTCTGTGGATCAGAGAAGGAATATTTAAAAATACAAGACGAATAGTACTATGAAGTTAATAGCACCATTACCCATTTAGCTGGCCTAAAAATCTCTGCATGGTCCCACAGAGAATTCTACTGACTTCAACAAAGGCCTACATCAACCCCTGCGCACATGGACTGAAGTAGAATTCTGTAACTGCAGCAAGTTGCTAAGATTTTAAATGAAATACAGGTAACTGCAGGAAATGAAGGTGTTCAGTTTCCCAGAAAAAAAAGACCGTTTTACACAAGCTACCTTGCAGTATAAGCAAATTCCACAAGCTGTTCAATAATGTCAGGCTCTGCATCCTTTAGCTCCACTTCAAAGGACTTTGATTCAAGCATATTTGCTACAAGTCAAGAAAAAGAGAACTAAATCAGCACATCCCTGTCAGCATAGCTGTCATTTTGCAACTCATGGAACATCTCTGGTAAAACAATTACAAGAAAGGGAAAGACTTTTATAAAGCTGAACACGCCAAACTGAAACACCTACAGGAACTTTTCAAAACATTGATAGTTATACTTCTACTATGTCTTGTCCAGTCTTGGGATGTGGATATTACATTACTAAACTTGTAAAAATAATGCAAATCAAAAAGATTATCATTTCTGGAAAGCTACCTGTATGTGCCCAGTGGCGGGAAAAATTAATATATTTTGTAATATTATTAATAAGACAAAAAACACAGTTGAGCTCCTCATTACTAACAGGTATTTAAGCACATGGACAACACCCCATTGAAAAGCACAGATGAATGAAGGAAGAAAAGAAATCAATGAGGGATAGGATACATTCATAGTTTCATAGTTGGTATGGTCGGAAGGGACCTGAGCAGATCATCAAATCCGACCCCCTACCGTGGCAGGAAAGAGTACTGGGGTCAAACGACCCTGGCAAGGTGTTCATCCAGGCTTCTCCTAAAGATCCCCAGGGTAGGAGCCAGCACCACTTCTCTTGGAAGTTGGTTCCAGATCCTAGCCGCCCTGACTGTGAAGCAGCGCTTCCTGATGTCTAGTCTAAATCTACCCTCTGCCAGCTTGTAACCATTATTTCTTGTCACTCCTGGTAGTGCTTGAGGGAACAGGGACTCCCCCAACGTCTGCTGGTCCCCCCTGGCCAGTTTGTAAATGGCCACTAGATCCCCTTTCAGCCTTCTCTTGTGAAGGCTGAACAGTTTCAGGTCCCTTAGCCTCTCCTCGTAGGGCCTGCCCTGCTGACCCCGATCATGCGGGTGGCCCTCCTCTGGACCCTCTCCATGTTGTCCACATCCCTTCCGAAGTGCAGCGCCCAGAACTGGACGCGGTACTCCAACTGCAGCCTGACCAGTGTCGCATAGAGGGGGAGGATCACCTCCTTGGACCTGCTCATGATGCATCTGTGGATGCATGAGACAAGGTACGGTTGGCCTTCCTGACTGCGGCCCCGCACTGTCGGCCCATGTTCATTTTGGCATCAATAATGACTCCAAGATCCTTTTCTGCCTCTGCACTGACAAGAAAGGAGTTCCCCAGCCTGTAGGTATGCTGCCGGTTCTTCCTCCCCAGGCGCAGTACCTTGCACTTGTCAGTGTTGAAACCCATCCTGTTCTCATCTGCCCACCCCTGTAACCTGTCTAGGTCCGATTGCAGCCTGTTCCTCCCTTCTAGCATGTCTACTTCTCCCCACATCTTAGTGTTGTCTGCAAATTTGAACAGGGTGCTTTTTACACCCCCTGTCCAAGTCAGGGGTGTAAAATTCATTTTTGTTATGATTAAACAAACAAGCCAAGCCACCTCTTGACATAAGCCTTGGGAGAAAGTAAGAGAGACTGATTTTTATAGATTGAAAAAGTTAAAATAAACCAATTTTGAAAAGACTTACTAGTAAACATCAAGTTAAAAAAGTGACTGGCTGAAGCAAGCACAACTCGGTGGGCTGGAATCTTTCTTTCCTGAACCATGAGAACGACATCACAGAGAGTTTTCTAATAAAGAGTAAAGATTGACATTATTAAAAATATGTCCAGGAATGTTTTCTTTCCAAGAAGCATATAGAAATTGATTATGTTTTCTGCTCCCAGGTTACCAATACACCTTATAATTATTAAAAACCAAACCAAACCAAACACACAAAACTACCTTAAATATGAAAATTATCGGTAGTTGAGCTAGGCTACACAAACCCAGGAGAAAAAAGGTTATGGCTGATCTAGCAAGCTCAGCTTACTCTGTTTAGCAAGATGCAATGCACCTCACACAGTTGAGGCAAGTAAGACTTTGAAATGCCATGTTAGTACATAAATGTTTTAAATGTGCACAGTGAGCTTAGAAATCATTTCCAGCTGGAAACATACGATTTGTCACTGCAAAATTAATAGGCAAGATGACTAACTTATCATAACAATATTTCCGTTTACTTGGTTCGTTTTCCTTGAGGATTTTGACAACCCCCTTTTACACCCTGTGTGTGTAAAGCCAGTTGGCTTTTCCTGACTGTTACTTCTTTCACATACCAACAGCAGAAAGCAAGCGACTAAAATAAATGTTGTCAGGAAGACGTTGGGGCAAAGGCAGTGTCTGAGGATGAGAATATTTTAACTGAATAGATGTCAGGCTTGCATTCTCTTTAAGACTGACTTCTTGAGAGTGTACATAATGGCTTATGACAGACTTTAATGAGCATTAAAGACATATAGCATTAGGTTCTCATTTATCATTAGCATATTCATTCTATTTGCAAAAAAACCTAACACATCCCAACCTATACAAAACCCACAAAAGACAACATTACCATTATCAGAAAGAAATGCATGTGATGAGATCCATGTGCGAACATATGCTCTGTATGAAATTAGCTGTTTAACATTACTGAAGGGAAAGATAGAGTAGTAGTTTAAATAGGCCATGATCCGAGTTTCACGCTTAATGCTCTTTCCTTAAAATAATTTTTGTTCACTCGGAAAATGACACTGGAAATAACTGGCAAACACCAGGACAAAAAAATCCCTCACCCCTTTTTTTATTTTTATTTTTTACACATCAGTAGCTTAAAATCACTTAAGACCAATTGTTTTCTTAAGTGCTGAAAGCTTGAGACCTGTAGACAAAGTTGTTATTTTATAGGATAATAAATTCTTGAATGCATCTGGCTCAAAAAATACCGTTCATCATCACAAGTGTGTTTTTAATATTCTATATGTAGCTTGTAGGGCAGAACAGCATAAGGACCAAGGCCAACATTTTCAGTGAAGATATAAATATTATCAACATTCTAGAAGCTGGACCTGAACTCTGCCTTCCTAAGAAGAGCGAACACACTGACATTTAACAAACACACACACCGCCTAGAGAGGACGGGGATTCTATAGAAACAAGGATTCTGTTTCTTAAGATTTTTCTGCTCTAACAGAAAACAACCGACCAGCATCTTTTTAAAACGGTTTCCACTCACCGTTTGGTTTGTGTGAGAAGAAACAAATAAACTCTTAGGAGCTTGAAGCTGAAATCAAGTTTGCATTCACAGCTTTTCTTCTCCTCTATCGCAGAAGTATCAAAACATATGGCCCATAGGCTGGATCCAGCCTGTGGAGCCTTTCAATCCATCCAGCCAGGCTACCAGTGGGCACCAGAAGTTGGAGAGCATAGCCTGCTGCAGAATTTGGGGGCTCTTCAGCCACTGCCCATGGAATTGCTCCCCCAAACCTGCTGCTGCTGCAGCTGGACCCCTCACCATGCTGTGCCAAGTCCAGTGGTCCAGATCCAGCCCAGGGTCCCAGGTAAATTTGACATCCATGCCCTAAAGCACACACACACACACCCCTCCCCATTGTCAGAGGGTTTTTAAGATTGTCTAAGTTAGAAGTCTCCCAATCCATATGGTCCTTTTTTAATTAAAAGTGGTAGTTTTGTAGGGAGGTGTAGGGGGGAGTCCTTCTAATGAATTTCTACTTCAAAATCTAGAGTGTTAGAAGACAGTGGGCATATCTATGCATGCATTAATGCGTATTAAATCTAGTACCTCCATTGTGAGGTACTAGGAACATGCACATTAGCCTTAATGCATATCAGCTAAACAGCAGTTTTTTAGTGACACTTTAATGTGCGTTAAAATAAGCTAATGCACATTAAAGTGCACGTGTAGACATACTCAGTTACACCACTTTGTAAATTCTTAAGCAGGTAACTTCACTCATGTGAGTTCCACTGATTCACTGGAGCCATTCACTTGACCAAGTGTTTATTTTCAAGAGTTCAGAATGGTTGAATTTTTCTCTCTCTCTTTAAAAGTCTAACAATTTAATTATACTCATAATAGTAAATTAAAATATTATATATATGGCATAAGTATAATTAAATATACAGGTATGAGACCAATGCCTACAACCCCAAATAAAGATTGTGGCTCTGTTGTGCTAGGTTCTGCATAGAAATTAACAGCACCACCTGCATTTATCCTGCAAGTTCTTTAGAAAAAGGAACTTACAGAAGCTTCTGGATTTTGTTTTTACTGTAAAAGATGCTTTGTCTTCTTCTAATTCACAACATTAACTGGGAATGAAGCTTTGCAGGGTGTTGAGTTTCAATGCCAACACTCTCTCTTAGTAACAAAAACCATTTGCGATAATTTTAATGATCCCTCAGGGCATGTTAAATTTTTCTTACGCAGCAGCACTGAGTTATTCCCTAAGACCCTACATGTTTTGCATGCACAGGATAACACTTCTGTAAAGTTGAATTTAGAATCCCCTAACAGAAATCTCCAGATCTACACAGTAGCATTGTGCTCTGTTGATTAAACCATTCTCACAATAACAAAACAAAAAACAAACAAACAAACAAAAACCTTTAGAAAATTAACTAGTGGACCTCTTCCCAGCACAACGGTGCTGACGCTAGATTTAGTGCTATTGCTTCATTCTGACTGAAGCAGCGGTGTTTCACTTTACTTGAATGGGACATGTCCAAAACCTACTGTAGCAAGATTAAAGTTACCCAATGGGACTATTCCAGAATGTGGAGAGTGACTCTGAAAGCCAGGAAACATGATCCAATCGTCAGTCTGACCTCCACCACTGCTGCTGGTAATAGCCACTGGAAATCAGACTCTGAAGGAGGTAACAAAAATTAACAAACTACTAAGGGAAGTGGTGTTTTCTCTGTCTCTTGAAGTCAAGACTGGATTCCTTTTCAGAAGATTCTTTAGCCAAATGCAGTATCAGCATGAATACAACAGTCACTGAATGATATTCAGTGGTCTCTGTTACACGAAAGGTCAAAAGGGATGATCTAATGGATGCATCTATTAAAATAGAGATTAAGAAAGACTAAAAGAATGTGCTAATTATCTGCATACAATCCAGCTATTTGTTACATTAGGTACAGCTATACTGTATCAGCAAGGGGTATTATTTGGAGCAGGTTAACAGATTTGGCACATCTGAGAGATGAAGTATACTTCATTTTAGTACTGAAAGTTGTAGGTTATAGCAATAAAGATGCACAAGGGATCACCAACAGTGCAGCAGCAGCAGTCTCTAAGGTATAGCAAAGGTAGTACTTCAGAAGGAACCTCAGAACACAGGAAGGTCTTATAGCATTTAGCATACGTGACATGCTTTGCATGAGATATGCTGTTTTTGTGTGTAGAATCTGCTTGCAATGCCAGAATTAAACCAAAGTTTTGCTTTAGCAAGCAGAATGCATTAGACCTTATTATGAAGTGCTCGCATGATCAGTTCCCACAGTGCTCAGTAGTGCCTGTGAGGCAGAATGCTAATATACATTATTAGTGTGCTGAGATAATGCTAAGAGCACAAAAGCTGGGGTTGCACTACAGAAGTGGCACACACCTACACTTTGCAGTTTCTGATTTTTAAGGGTTTTAAATTACTCTCCCCATTTTGGAAGGGCACGAGTCATATTTAGGTTAGCTGATCTCTGCCTTAACAGAGTTTTTATGCACTTAATTTCCTAGGTTAGAAAAATCCCTAGTACCCCCACTTACCCATCTACCACAGACCAGTTCTCTTTCTTCACTATTTCTGGTTTCTTGCCACAGAACATACTGGCTGCACCCTGGTCTTTTCTACATTGTCTCCCCTCTCTCCTCAGTTCATCTTTGCACAGAGGTAGGTGTCAGCATGGCACCTGGGAGAGGATACAGAAATGCCATAGGCACCAGTCTCAAGAACATTGTTGCTATTTTTTTAAGGGGGAGAGAAACATTGGCTAACAAGGCAAAGGAGATTAGGACCAGGGACTTAGAAGACACTGGGTCAATTCCTCATTCTACCTTAGACTTCAAGCATTACCGCGAACAAGCCTTAGCACCTCCGTGGACCAGTTCCTCACCTGAAAAAGTAGAAATAACCAGATTTCCCTATTTCTCAGGGACACATGATGACTGACCATAATTATTAAAATCACCTTATTCTATTAAAAAGGATTTGAAAAACATAACAGTGAGTTCTGTACTTTCACTGCATGGCGATTTGTTGATCTGCACATAGGCCATCCAATTTTTCACTTTTAAACGTGCTGAAGGCTCACACCCAACCAGAGTAGATGTCCCCAGTGGTTGCCTCTCAGACAGTACACCTTCCATGTAACCTTCAATAAAGATCAAGTTGTGTCCCCTTGTATGCTGTGGATAAATACACTGAAGACTGTGAGAGACTTGAACTCTGTAGTAATTCAAGGCAGATCAATTCCTGTCATTCACCAGTGAATGAGAAAAAGTTTTTTTTCACATCCATTGTATGCTCTCCGATGCCTTTTGGTCCAACCCTCCTTTCTCTGCATAATTCCAAGGCCACTCAACTTCTCAGATACACCCACCTGCCCTCTTACTATGGCTTCAATATTCCCACCATTGTACCACTGCTTTAACCCCTCCTGTTATGCTGTTCCACTTGCTATGCACAATCTGTAGCCTCCTTACTTTGCCAGTTTGAAAAGGCAGGTGGAGGCTATGGGGAAGTAGGAAAATTGGAAGGAAGGTCTGTGGGAGGTTTGTGTACCGGCAGAATGGACAGAAAATGAGATGCAGAGTTCCCATAATAAGTCTGGGACTAGTGAATGAGGAAAGAGCTCTATACAGTCAACTATAGCATACAGCCTCAAAGCCACCCAATCATCTCAATTGAGATGGTTCTCAGCTGAACAACACCATTCCATTAAAATGACTGCAGCATGGCACATTCACTCTAAGGTAGGCAAACAGCTCATCTCAGCAGATGTTCTCAACCCCCTCCTCCAGCATTAATGCTTGTCAGCCAATCTATTCTTATCATTCAAAGGGCAACAGAAGTGCATCACATTGAGCAGTTAACACTGTGACTTCTGTCACACTTAAAATAAAACGTATAAGCTAGCAATTTTCTTCTCTAGTTCAGTCATCACACAGCCTTGAGAAGCATACCACACCACATCCTAGCCATTTATTTACACCATCAAGCCACACTCACCACAGGTGCCCCCTATTCTTGGCACCACTCCATGCAAGACCTGCCTTCATCCACCTCATAAATCCCACAAGCCTGAGCTTTCTTCACCTGATGACCTGGATGACAGAGTACCACTCCAACTATGCTGAAAGCCTGGGTGATTACCTCTCTCAGCTGTATAAGGCATATATTGCAATACAGCAAGACGCTGAACACAAGAAAGCATTACACACTTCAGAGTGTCTGAGTATTGCCTGATCAAAAGTCATGATGTCAACTCTATTTTGTATTATCAGGTGATGTTAGCATAATGCCAAGTACATGCAGGGTTCAATGCACTCTGACATCTCCGAATTTGGACAGGAATATCTTTGATGTTTCAAAAGACTCATAATTATCACAACTTTTTGTGTAGACTTAGCCTCCTTGCTTCCAAGTAACTTTATTTAAGAACATTTCAACTTCTGGCAACAAGTCAGCAAAATATTATTTGTTTGTCCACCACTATTTTCCCCCTCCTGAAGGTTTCTGTGTGCGCCTTTTCTTAAAATTCCTTCATGATTACACTTGTTGAGGATCAATGATAGCATGCAGTGTTGTTTGACACCTATACAAGTCAAACCAATGACTTTGCTCATGTTCTAACAAGTGCTCAACAGTTGTACTTCTGTAGAAATTGTATCAGCTTTATTACATTTAAATGATAATCCAAGCATTAAAACATTTTCACCATTTCCAGCCTGCTTCATGTTTTCCCAAGGTGGTGTACATCAAACAATGCTGGAAGGCTTCATTATAATCCACAAAGTCATTCACCAACTCATCAAGCTCCATCGTTCTATCAAATAGCATATGCAGATTGAATATTTGTTCCACTGCTCCTCTTGTTCTACAGCCAGAAGCTTTCCATCCCTTTACCCCTTCAAATAAGAACCACTGTTGTGTACTAGACAGGCCCATTGCTACATACTAAATGTGCCCTTTACTTCTCACTATATCCATGCATCACAAGGTAGGTATACATTTGCAGCATTTGGTTTTCAATTCTGTACTCACAGGGGATCCTCTGTTTGATTAGGGGGCAGGGAGTAAGGCAGGAAGAGCCTCCCCCCCAAAAAAACCCAACCAACCAAACAAACAAACCCTCTTTTTAAGTTCTGTAAAAGATGAATTAGCAGCAGCTTTTGGCTGTGACAGGACTAAACTTTTAGCTGTGGGCCTGCAAACACATGGTAAGAGAAAGTACCCGGTGCTCAGCCATGGTGAGCCTGTACTGTGGTTGGTAAGATTCTTGAAAAATCTCTCTCTTTTCGTTCTACCTGCCCAAAACAAGGTGTATGTCTTCTTTTGGGAGGAAGGTATGTAGTATATGAGAAAATATGGTATATAACTGCCTGAAGAACTGCTTAGTTTCATTTGCATTATAGACCTAAATATATTGCCTCGACTATACCTAGGCAAGCTTTTTTTCCAGGTAACACAAATTTACCATAAGCAGCGATCCAGGTTTTCCATTTGCCACAGAAAAAAGTGATAAAACCTGGATTTTCTCCTTTAACAGAGAAAAATGAGGGAAAAGGTGGGTTTGCCCTTGCAGGGTGGCAGAGTTCCAGGAAGCAGGGCTGGCTCCTGGCCATTGCATGCACTCCTGTGTGGGAGCATGGGGGGCACATGCCCCCAGATTTGTGCACAGGACAGGGGCAGGCTGGCCACTGTGGGCTCAGGCTCCCCACCTGCTGGCATCCCCCAGGACTTCCACAGCCCAACAGGTGAGACTTGGCACAGCAGGGCAGAGCAGGGTGGGGAAGCCCGGTGCCACTGCTGTGAGCCCTGCACTGCCATGGCGAGGTGCCCCCTGCTCACCCAGCAGCAGCAGAGGTGGCTGTGTGGAATAGTATCCATCACTGCTGTCAGGCAGGTAGGGGTCTCCTTACCACGGAGGCATGGAGCTCCCAGCGATGGCAATAGCTTCCCCACCCAGCTGTGCTGCACCGGGTCTTGCCCGCTGAGCTGCAGAGGCCCCGGTGGAGGGCAGCAGGGTGGGGAGATCAAATCTGCAGCAGGCAGCTCGCATCCATTCCCCCTGCCCTGGGACAGGCTTCCGCTCCAGCTGTGCCACCTAAGGGAAAGGGGGACTGGGCTCCGTGCTCCACTGCAGCAGCTGCCACCTCCCACATGCAGCAGCCAGGTCTTGCTGTGGTTGGGGACTGAGGGGCACCCAGCTGGGCTGGTGGGGGCTGTGCATCATGAATGAGGGGCGATGGCACAGGCAAGGTACCAGCATACCAGGGCTGCTCAGCACCACAAAACAGTAGGGGAGGGACAGCTGCAGCTGGGCCTGCATCCTGGCAAGTGAAGGGGGCAGGGGGAACTCTGATTTTCCATGATAAAAAACCCAAAAATCAAATGCCAAAATGTATAGGTATTTATAATTTATTTTATTATAGTGATCAAGGCACTGGTAGGCTTCCAGATTGCTTAAAATTGTAAATATATCAATATCAGGTTCAACTGATACCTATATTAGTGGTGTTTCATTTTAACCATGGAAAAATGCAGATTTTGGTGTTTTTTAAATTAGAGAATTTGCAAAATTTTTAATCAGAGAAGTTGCGATTTGTAAAGAGAGAAAACCAGGATGCCTGATCATAAGTAATTTGAACAAGAAAGAAAGAAGTGTACAAGATGAACCCATAAGTGACATGGTCCAGTACTGCATGGATAATAGTAAGCCGGTGGGAAATATGAGAGTAATAAAAAGAGACTAGATAAACTAAGCTGATGTCCTTTATCAGCCCCAATTTACCAGCATCTATATAAATTAGTTAGGGTTGGACAGAACCCTTATGTGGGTCAGTATGGAAACAAAATGTATTAATATAAATAACATGATATAAACATAATAATTCATAAACACCACACACAAAGAACTGCTCACCCACTAGTTGCCCCAGTCAACATCCTTTTTTGTGCAACTAACTCTGCCTCTGGCTCCATATTCCTGATCTCAAGGGAACTTTGAGATCACTCTGATGCTACAGTTGAGTCTATTTTCTTCACAGGAAGAGATCTTCAGCCACAACCTGGAGTCAGAGATTATCCCAACACTCTTGTGCCAAATCTGCAACAACTTCATCTTTTTCAAACAACAACTGATGCCACTTGCAATTCAGTCACTTTATCCAAAATCTCCTTGTGGAATCAAGACTGGATAGTGGAGCAGTTTTCAGCATCATGTGACAGTCATCCTGGAAAGTAACTGGGCTATTGGTCTAAGAGGCTGCTCAACCCAAAAGCCCCACACACACACCAGCATTCCAGCAGTCTAAAAGAACTGGATAATCCCACTTGTATTTACAGCTGGACAAGTATTGACTTTCTGGTTAAACGCAAAGATAGTGCTTTGTCTCTTGCACTCCATGCCTGCTCTGCCTTCAACATACCAGTGAACTTGTTATAAGGAAAAGTTTTATGCTGAGTATTAAGATTGGATAGGAAGTGTCCATCTCACTTGCAGCAGTGTTTGAGGGAGACTTGTGTGGCACGTACCATTTCAATTGGCAGTTACTTGACACTCATTTTAAACTTGCTTTTTTAACTAGTGCAGGCAACCTCAGATGCGGAAGAGGTTTCAACCATCTATTGCAAAACAATAACCAAGCTTTCAACACAAAAAGATGTTTGTATACCGTAGCATACAAATATTTCACCAGTTATCTATTGCTTCCTTTCACCACTCAAACCATGCTGGGTGCTTATCATTTCAAACAATTTGTTTTGTGACACCTTCCTCCCCAGGCCCAACAAGTGCAAGGATTGAATGGACTTTTTTTTTTCTTCTTTCTTTGATCAATCCCTAGATTTTGAGGAACTCTACACAGGCTCTAAGTTAATGTGTTTATACAAGAAAGACACTGAAGTTTAGTGGAGAAACTAGCTCTGCTAGGGCTAGAACTTAATTGATAAACTGTTTCCATTAAATATTTAATAGCATTACTGGTTAGGAACAGTGACACCAAAAGCTGAACAAGCAACTCCTATAAAGGAGGCAGAACAATATCACTTATAAATGGTCGCGTCTTTAAAGGTCAAAGAAAGGTCCAGTGACTATAGGCAGGACAGCAGAAGTCAGGATTCTTGGGATTCTACCCACACCTCTGCCAATGACCAGCTGTATGGTCTCAAGGAAGTTACTTAAACTCCTGGTGCTTCTGTAAAATGGGACCAAGGATGCAAGCCTCAGGTGGCTTAGTCAATAATCATCTTCATATCAATCATGATCTGAAGTGCATACACAAAGCTAAAAGCAAAGTCAGTAGAAGGTCTCACACGCACCCCAAACAGAATGGGCCATCTTCAGTCAAGCTAGAATGGTTAGGAAATGGAGGATAACATAAATCAAATTATTCTGAGCCAGGAGGTGGTACAACTGGCTACAAGTCACTGGATGCAGAACCTCAGGAGAACGGGGAATGTATTTTACTAAAATTAGGAAGAGGAAGTAGGGAGTTCCAGTCCTTTTGAATTCCCTGCCTTACCTGTTTGCGCATGGTATTCATGACTCCCATAAAGCTTGCTAACAGCTTAGCTTCTTCTCGGGCGGCGAGTTTCTTCTCCGTTTTCTTCTTGTTGCTTTTTTCTGACCCAGAGGCTGCCATGCTCCTCTCTTCTCACCACCAGGAAAACAAGGGCTGACCAGACCCGCACAGGCACATACACTGCGGCTGGAAAACACCCGTTACAACACACCGAACTGCTGCAAACAGGAAGGCAGCTGGAGAACTGGACAATCCTCGCCCCACCCCCCACCCCGGGCAGCTGCCGGGCTGAGCAATCCGCCAGGGCAGAACCAGCTGTCCCCTGGAAGAGGCTGAGCAATCACCAGCTTCGAAAACCCGGGATCCAGGAAGAGCTGGGCCTTGCAGGCACCTACGGCAGAGACCGGGGAACGCAGCCTGCCCCGGCGGGGGGGAGAGGGCCGCGGCCGCAGCACCCTGGCGCGGGAGACTCGGGACGCATCAATCGCCGACGTTCCGCCAATAGAACGCGGCCCCTCCGCAGCGTTCCGGGGACGCGGGGGGGGGGGGAAAGCCGCTGGGCGCACACTGACGTCACTGCCCGGCGCGCACTCCATCCACACTCCCCCTCCCGCAGGCCCAGCGCGAGACAAACAAAGACCGGGGAGGGCCTGCGGTAGGTCACGTGACCGCGGTCTGCAGCGACGGGGGGAAGTGGTTCGAGTGCGCAAACGCAGACCTGGGGCGGGCTGGCTGCGGGCTGAGCAGTGCCTGTGGGGTGTGTTTTCATCTTACAGCTGGAGCGCTCTGATAAGTCTGCGAGCTCTCGGAGGTCAAGGGTACATGGGCAGCACCCTTGGCAGAGCAGAGCCCGGAGACTTATCACAGCTCCCCCCACTCCTGGTTCCACGCAGTGGCCCGGGCTGCAGTGCATCCCAGCAGCCATGCAGGCTCCGACCAAGTTAGCTGCACAAAGCAAGACGTTTTATTTATCCTCGTGAGCAGTGCCGGATTTAGGCACAAGCTAAGCAAGCTACAGTTTAGGGCCTCACATTTTGAGGGGCCTCTAAGCATCAGCTGCTGGACTGGAAGTGATCACGGATGGACAAACCGCAGCCCTGCGGAGCCTGGTGGAGAGGCCACGATGACTCCTCCCACAAGGCCCGGGGTTGAGGTTTGGCCTACGCCCCTGCCCAGGGGGTGGAAGTACCTGTACCTGTGTGCAGTGGTCCACGGTTTGCTGGGTGGCAGCATAGAAAGATTGGGAGCCCCTAGTTTAGGACCTCACCCCATCATAATCCGGCCCTACTCATGAGATGATTGTTCATTTCATTATAAAACTAGGAACCCTCTGGCATCATTGGGTGCGTGGAGGGAACTGGGTCTGATTCGTCTTGGCCATACAACTGCACTTCCCCCTCAGTTTTACCTTCTGGATCTAGCACGCGATCTAGGCCGCCTGAATAACGCAGGTTCCAAATGGTGGAACAACAAAGCAGCTGGTTCCAAGTTTTGCTGTTCTTTGGGGCCAAGATATGGCCAGGTCTAGGATTTTCATTCTCTGGTCAGTAAAAACTGGGGTTAATGCCGGCAGCATGCAGTTTTTATCTACTTACACCTCACTTTTGTCTGTCAGAATAAAGGACTGTATGCATAACTCATTTTTCAGTCTGGCCACCAAATGAAAAGACAGAAAAAAGATTCAGAGCAAATGGAATTCCCCTTCCTCCCCCCCCAATAATTAAAGCCTATAAAATATTTTTTTTGCTCAATACAGTATATTCCTTTCAACTTGAAACAAAATATTTCATTTTGGGCCTTGTAAGACAAGTAAATAAAATAAAGAGACAGGTTCACAAAACCTCTGGGAAAGAAGTCTAAGTGGCAGTGATCTCAACCTGGGGGCTGAGACACCCTGGGGTGTTGTGAGATCATTTTCAGGGTGCTGCAGTGTGCTGCTCAATATTAGCTCTGTTAGGTATGCAAACACCTACACAAAACTGACAAGATAAACCCAGAGAGCATGCAGGCATGTGTGCTTGCAGCAGTTCAAATAGCAGCAGCACTAATATGTGCCAGAGATTTGTGCCTCAGCATGCCTGAACATACATTTTGGTGTGGGTCAAGTTGTGCCACTTGGAGCAAACTGACCCTGCCCAGCTCCTTCTGGATCTTCTGCCAGGGGGAGCTAGAGCCTGGGGCCAGCACCAGTATAAAAAGTTGCCCTAGTGAGTAGCTCAGGTCTACTTACTCTCAGGAGCTTCTGGGTGAGGAACCTCTGGGAGGAAGTTGGCTATGCCCCTTCCTGTCCCAGGCTGCTACTGCTGTTGTTACTGCAAGCTTGGACTCAAGAGCTTCTGGGAAGAGGATGGCCAGGCCCTTTTCTGCCCCTGGCTACTGCTAGCTGCTGGCTTGGTCTCCGAGCTTTTGGGAGTAAGTTGGCTGAATTGCTTCCTGCCTTGAGTGGTGGCGGCTGCTGCTGTTGCTGCCCCCTCCCCACCCATGGGGGGGTCCTAGGCTGCATGCTGCTGCCCCCCCTTGGGGAGGGGCCCACTGCACCCTATCTTCTGCACCCCTGTTCTGGCCTGCTGCCCAGCCTGCCACCAATATGTGGTCAGGGGACAGCCTGAGGAGGGAGCCTGTGCTGCCTGTGGGCCTCTCCCCCACCCTTGTTGCCAGAGCCTAAAGGTGCCTTGCCTGCCCCAGCTGCCTTGGCAGGCCGCCCCCACCTTCACCTCCCCTCTCGCCAGAAGCACATGCTGAGTGGCTGAACTGGATGGCTCCTACCATCACTGCTGCTGCCCGCCTCTCAGGAGACAGAGAGATTCCCTGCTGCACCACCTTGCACCACTCAACACCACACCTGCACTGGACTACTCCCCAAGTGACTGATTGCTCCTGCCCTCCCTCACAGCTGCCTCACTGCATCTGATCCTGCTTTGTTTCCCTACCTGCTGCCCTGCTGCTGAGTGACTAGCTGGAGGCCTGAGGGGCTCCTGAACTGTTCTCCAACAAACAAAGCCACTCTACCGCTCCAGCCAACTTTTACATCTGCCTCAGTGCCCTTCCCTGTGTGTTTCGCCCTTGTGTGGTAAGTCCTGTGGTCCACTCCCCCTGCCCTGGTGTTTGTGTGACTGAGTAAGTCAGCTCAAGTCTCCCCAGCCCTTGTGTGTATGTGTTCCCCCTCTCCCACATTCCCCAAGCATAGCCCTCCCAGCTCTTTTCCTGTGGGGATGTAGCTCAGTGAGCTTTAGTCCCCTTCCCCAGCCTGCCTCTACTAGATTCACCAGCCCCACTGTACTTTTTTGGGTTTCTTTTTTCGTTTCCCCTTCCTGATGTGAAGCAATGGCAGAGCACTAACTTTCTTTGTGTGTGTGTGGGGGGGGGGAGGAAGATTCCTCCATAGAATTTCCTGCGGCCTCTGCTGCAGGGGCAGGTGAGACTCCAGCAGGCCTCCAGAGGAGTTCCCAAGCCCCCTTCCCCACCATCAGGGGCCAGGGGCAAGGGCAGTGGGAAGGGCTCCCCAGTGGGGGGTGAGAAGGGCAAGGGCCCTGCCCCTAAGCCTAGACCTGAGGGGACTAGATGCACCACACCAACTGGTCCACCCACTCAGCCTGTCCCTAACCCTAGCCCCGGCCCCACCAATGTAGCCCCCCAATGGGGGAACCACGGCTATGCACAGGTGGCTGCGGGGCTACCCACAGCTATGGGGCCTGGACCCTCCACTGCTAGCCCTTCCAGCTTGGGCAGCAAGGCCCCCTTTCTGGCACTCGGCCATAGGCACAGGATGAAGTGCCAACTGCACAGGTGGGAGACCCTGCATTTTGCGACCTGGGTGCAGACCCTGGCTTGGGTAGTGGGGGCCCCCCAAGCTTGTGTTGGGCCTCCAGCTTTCATGGCAAAGGGGCCTTTTTCCTTGCCTCGGAGGCTGCCGCACAAAAGGCGGTGGAGAGGGACAGTGTGGTGGAGGGCGAGTATTTCTCCTTTGAATCCCTAGAAGAGCTGGGGACCAGAGTGGTCCTCATCTCTATCCCACTTTATAGCCCCAGTTAGGCCCTGCTCCCCCATCTCAACTTTCCCCAGGGTTTGATCTCCCCTGTGGTACCCTCTCCCTGGGGTGCCAAGACCCCGGCCTCTGCCACCTGTGCTCATTCCATCATCGGGTCATGATCCAGCTGGTGGCGGCAGCGCAGCTGGAGACTGAGGGCAGCCTCATAATTACTTTTCAGGGGGCCCTAGTGAGGATTTTTTATACACTGGGGGACCTGGGGTGCTTCTGGTGCCATGCCCCGGGGCACTTGCATCATGAGTGCCCCATGGGTCAGGTGGGGAGGGTGTCCACAGGTCCCACTGGCAAAAGGGGTGCCACAACTACCAGCCCCCCTCCGTGAGCTCGAGGGACCCTGCCCCCAACCAAGTATGGCAGAGTCCTGGGGAGGGGGGCAGCGGCCAGGGGAAGAGGGAGAGGCCTGCCCCCGCCCCTGGCCGTCCCCCCGCTGTAACTACCCCAGTACTCCAACCCTCACCTTCTACTGGAGCCTATCCACCTGAGGACTGCCCATGGCTGAGTGGGTGCAGGTCCCCTTCAGGTGCAAAGCCAAGAGAAGCCTGGGTGCAGCTGGAGCCCTCTGATGTAGAGGACCCCCCTTTTTTCCCCCCCCAACCCCAAGACCATCACATGGGGAGAAGGAGTGATTTAGCTTCTGGGGGCTTCCCCAGCTGCGCTGGACACCCCACCCCCAGGGAAGATTAAACAGGTTATCCCAGTAGAGGAGGCTTTAGGACTGCTGGACACTCCTAAACAGGGGCCCATGCAGGAAGCCCTTCACTCCAGTGGCCAGGACCTACCCACTGAGACTGTGGGTGCTGAGGCTGACCCAGAGGAAGGTTTGGCAGCAG